GTAAATACAAAGCATGAGGCATAGCCTGGTGGTAGCTCTCCAAGCCTGAAACGTGGAAACAACTGGCACTCATATCTGTGACTTAAGTGTTTACACTGGCACTCCAAAGCTCTAGGGTCACTGAGCTTAAGGCCTGGTAGGGGACTCTCACCTTATGCCAGCTTACTTCCAACTTCCCAAAGAACAAGCACATGCAACCCTACCTACAGAATGTCTACAAATCACTACCTTGTTAGCATTTCTAATATTAGAAACAGGAAGACTACTGTCACCACTTGTTATTTTCCACCAGATGTTCCCACCACCACCATCTCAACTGTCCTCAGACCAGGGACACTTTGGAAAAAACTGCTTTGAGAAGCAAAGGAAGCACAGGTAGGGGCCTTAATATCCCAAGGCACCCAAGGAGTCACAACTTCAAAAACTAAAATTACCTACCCGTGGTATTTCAGGATTCTGTCACTTACTAATATAGACAGATGCTTTCTACTCTAGATGTTAAGTTCTCAATTCTAGGTATATATGCTGATTCAAATTTGCTCTGCTTTATAAACCAGAAGAATGAGTAATATTCACGACTTTCTTATCTCTGTGCAAAAGTACATGAACAAATCACCCACCAAAAGTTTTTTTCAATTGTTAACATCAGACCTTAAAACAGTAACTAATAAACAGGAGCTCTGCTCATCTGAGCAACATCAGCAGCAACATGCTCCTAGGAACATTCTGTTACTGTTTTAGACAATGTAGGACAAATTCAGAATTTCTGAATATCTATAGTTCACAAGTGGTAATAAACACAAAGAAGTTGGTAAAAACACTTTTACTTAAGTTTCTCAGACTAAATTTAGGACAGCCAGTTCCTTGTTTCCTCTGCTTCACTTATTTGCCTGAAGAGCTTTCACTGCAAGCAGAAAGGACAAAAAGAACAAAGAGAATTACTTAAGATCAAGGAGCAAAAGAAGTCACCTTTCACCTAGTAAGAGTTTGCAAAGAACTCACAGGAAAAAGCTAGAAGGTAAAGTTTCACCTGGAAACAACATATTATGTTCAGGTGCCAGCCAATAAAAATGAGAAATTCAGAAATTTAAATTCATTCTGCAAAAAGTCACAAAATTTCTGATATGGAAAGCAAGACAAAAAGTGACAATCTAAAGAAAAACAACAGACCCTTATTAAACAGTTACAACAATTGCTTGACATAAACTCATTCCTCAAGTTTTTCATTTAATATAAAGGAACATATTTAGAATGACAGCCTATAAACTAGGAAGAGGAAATATCATAAGTCCTTGGTTATTTCCTAGAATAGAGCATGCACACATTCTTCCTGTGAGAATAAGACTACCTGCATAAAGCACATGCATTTTATCCGCTCATTAACCCGTCATCTGTCCCAAAGAAATGAAACATTCCTATGTGAAAAAGCTATCTGAAAATTTTACACTCAAGCCAATAGCTACTGCACTGAAATCAAAGATGAAAACGCTAATTAAATCTTTCATAAATCGCCATAACTTACAAAAGCTGTAGTTTTATGATTCCCATACTTGAGCTTCACAAAAAAGCAATAATGTGCAACTGACTCAAGACAACAGAGTGAGAGTGTTCAAAGTGTAACAGATTTGGTATCCACCAAGGGCGGGAGCCAGCTGGAAAGCTCAGATCAAGACTCCAGAACCAAGGACTCTGACCCAAAGCAAGCAAGGAGATCCCTTCAACCTTCTAATTACTCATTTATTCAAACACAATCACAACCTGCTCTACAACCAAGCTCATGCGCCGTGCTATGGATGCAATGGGAACAAGCACATCTGCTGGCCCCATGGAGCCACAGCACACGGAGGACTCCATCATCCTGGTTCAGCTCTACTTTGTTCAGCCCTGACCTATGCCACACACATGGCACCAATTCCAGCACGCTTGGCAGCCTTCCCCTTGCGCTCTGTTCCTCTAGCACACAAGTTCTACCGCAGGGTCTTGCCGTTCTCTTCCCTGAAGCACTCTTCCTTCTGATCTCCAAAACCACAGGGTTCCTGCTCCTCACTCAACTTCCCGCTCAAATCTTTCTATCCCAGAGACATTTTCTGGCCACAAAATCTAAACCAGTAGCCCTCACCCTGGCACTCTTTCTTGTAGCAAGCCTATTTTATTATTTTCCGGATACTTGGCACTCTCTGATATTATCTCCTTTATTGCTCCTTTGCTCTTTATCCATTTCCTCAGCTAAAATGTGAATCTACAGCCAGGTCTTATCTGTGTTGTTCAATGCTTTATCTTAGTCCCTAGAAAACAGCCTGAATATTAACAGATATCTAATGAATATTTTAAAGAGTTACAGACAGTATTAGCAATTTTGTACTACAGTAACAAGAACTGATTAACAAAGGGAAAAAGAACACTTTAAATGTTAAAAGACTGGATTAGTTATTTTTTTAAATAGGTTTTGTAAAAGATCATAGTTTACAATCCTCCAAATACAATATAATGAAAATATTAAAGCTCAATATTGGCTAATGTTAAATTCTGTAATGAATTAGGCTAATTTCTAGCATTAGCATTGCTTCTACCATATATTGTTTTAAAAGAACTCTAAAAAGAGATCCTAACAGTTCATTAAAAAAAAGAGACCAAATCTTTTCTAAAAGCATCCTTTCCATTAAGAATTGGTAAACACTTGCTCCTAAACCATAAATTTTATTTTTTGTCGGGACTCAAACTCCGGACCTCACACTAACCAAGTAGGCACTGTACCTCTGAGCTATATCCCTGGCCCATAAACGACAGATTTTATAACTAAATTATTAACAATATTTAAATATGAGATATCAGTGCTCATTCAGAGATGGTAGAGATCTCAGCACCTAATAGCAAACCAATTTTATGAAATATTTAAAAATATTTAAACTATTATTTAAAACATTTTTTTTCTTACAAATGCTTCTTAAAACTTTATATCTGCTCCTGTCTTTAGCTAAGTTGTTATTAGGTACTGACCAACCCTCATGTCTCACACTCCACAGCAAAAGATGCTGGAGACCCTTATGGATCACTTAGGAGTTATATAAGAGAAACAAGCCGTGTGCACTGGGAGAGGGGGCATTCCTGGAATGTGATTAAATAAGCAAATTACTGCCTTTGGACTTTGGGGAATAAATGAAATCCACTTACAAACCCCAAAAACTAATGCTGTACCATAAGTTTACAGCAAAATATTAAAAACTATATATACACATATGGAGAAGAAGTGAAATAAATTATAGTTCATCTTTTAATGGAGTATTTCACTGCCACTGGAGAATGAGACAGCTCTCTTAAGTCTGATGAAGACTGCCATGATTTGGGGGTGTGATTCAGAACAGGTTTTACAGAGCATTCTCTTTTGCAGAAAGGTAAAAGAACACAAAATGTTTATGTTCCTAGCATTAGTCTATGAATGGGAACGGAAAGATAGACACAAGGAGCCTGCAACCATGGCGGTTGGGCGGGATGCTGTGGGATGTGGTGGAGGAAAGCTTATAATGTGCTTACTATGGACTCTTTTCATATCCATTGACTTTTCTCCAGTGGGAATAGACTGCCTGTCCCATAAATAAACATGATAAATCTGAACATAACATATATTACAAATACATTCATCAAGGATCATCATTCAAAAGCAAAAGCTTTCAAAAATCATAAAATTTTGCTCCCTTCAGCACTGTCCCTGATTCCCACAAGAAATTAGGCATACATTTGTCATCTCAACCATTACAAAGCAAATACAACTCGATTCAGTTCTTGGAGATGCTCAGTTCAACCTGAAAACACATCTCATATTTAAATTGAGCTTGTGATTCCCTAATGAAGCCTCCGAATGAACAGTTCCCACATAGCTATAAAACAGAAAGTCAACTTAAGAAACAACTAAGAAGACAGTCTGTTTTTTAAAGCACAGACTATACTTAGGTTTCCTTTCCTCTGCCAGGCTTAGACAGAAACACTCTGATGTTAGTAAAATATTTCAGATTACTGGCAAAATCATCAGTGATGAAGAGGGGCAAGCATCATTTGCACCAGAAAAACAAATAAATAAATAACCAACCTTTTAATTTTTCATTTCGGTGGAGGGGAGGATCGCTTTAAATTTAACTTTGGCACCATTTTTAGATCCTTGACCAAATGATACCAAGGCACATTAATTTGACTCCAAGCAAATACTTTTTTTCATTAAAGACAAACATGAAACTGAAAACAAACAAATGGGAAGGCAAACTTTAAACCGAAACTTATTGTTGGAAAACATATCTTAAAAGAACACATAAAAGAAATGCAAATAACTCATTTCCATATAAACTTCATTCAATAACAGTACACATTTTGTTATTAACAATCGACTGCCCTAAACATACACAAAAAGGAACACAAAGCTATCTGACTGCAAATAAAAAATCTCGTATGTTCAGTAGCTGGAGGTGGGAACCAAAATCATTAGTGAAGCCCTCCTGAGTTCGCAACTGATGTGCAGTTTTCGGGCGGTGTGAACTCAAGATTCCAGCTTTGTGCTTTTAGACACCAACACTTCAGAAACATCTTTCGGGAAAAGCCTAACTTTGATCTCCAACACTTTAACGCTGGGTGTTGTTAGTAACGAACCTTTAGATATAAGCACAAAAAGGTCAGTCAAATGCACTATAAATACAAAAAGAACAAGGAACTGCTTTAAAGAGGCGCCAAGGAGGAGGCTCGAAATGGCTTGGCAGGTCACACCTTCAAAGGGAAAAATTTAAAGCTCCTTCCCCTCCCCCAGGTCACCCCGAGTCTTGGGACTCTGGGGGGCAGAAGTTTCCCGGGGAAGCTGTGCCAGCAGGGACCCGAGGGCCAGAGCCGCCTGCCAAAGTCGCTCACCCTAGACGCCCACAAACCCAGGACCGGCGGCCCGAGCGCGCTCCCCGCCCCGCCAGCGCTCGCGGCCACGCGCCTGGGACTCCGCGCGCCGCGCCCACCGGCCTCGTACTCACCGGCCGCTCCGCGCCGCTATCTCGCCATCCCGCGCGGTCGGCTCGGACGCCGCGGCCGCGGCCGCCGCCCCGAGGCAGCCAGAGCCCGCGGCACCCCAGGACTGGAGCTGCGGAGGACGGGGCCCGGCACAACCCGCCGGCGCCGCCGCCGTCTCGCTCCGCAACCCGGCGGCTCGAGACGGCCCGCTGCCCTCAGCGAACCCCAGAGCCGCCGCCGCTACAGCCGCGGGCGCCTCCGCGAGGAAACGGTCACGGCCACAGCTCCGGCCGCGGCCGAGTCGCTCCAGCGCCGAGTGCGGCGCGCGGGGGCGGTGCCTGCACGCCGCTCGACGGGGGGCGCTGCGGCCCGGCCCGCCCTTGGCCCCGCCCCGGCCACCAGGCCCCGCCCCTGACCCACCCCTCTGCCCGCAGCGCCGCGGCGGACCGGGCCCTGCCGCGCGCTCACGGTGCTCACGGCGCGGGTCCGCGAGGCCGCGGCGAAAGTCGGAGCGGCGCGGCCGCGCGTGCAGCCCAGGCGCGGAGGGTGGGGCTTTTCCAGAGACGCTGTCGCCAGGCCGACTTCGGAAGGTCGTGGAACCGCCAGGGACAGCGAGGCGGCCGCAGAGTGCAGAGCCACAGGCCGGGCGGCCCTGCAGGAAGAACAGTGGCTCCCCAAACGCTGTAGGAGCGCTTTGCAAACATTGCGTTATGGAGAAGAAAACGGGGGGGCCGCTTGTGTAAATGAACGCGGACTCCAGCTTCTGCGCTTGGTGCAGGGGTGCAGGGGACAAGCACTTAGACCGTAGCCTTTACAGAAAGGCCCAGGGCTGCGGCGATGCTGCTCAGGTCACCTTGCTTCTCCCAGATGCAGGGCTCCCAGAGCCCGAGAGGGGCCGAAAGGGCAGTCTGAGGATATCTTTGGGACATCTAGTCTTGCCTCCAAGGTGTGGTGGACTTATTTGTGCAGAGAAGCGGATCCCTTAACGGGGTGAGATTTTTTTCCTCCATGCATTGTTCCCATTTCCGCAGTTTTACTTGGCTTCGGTGTTCTTCCAGAGTAATGCACCAAATAAAATTAGCTGGAGAGCGTTGATGGCGCAGAATCATGATTTGAAGATGTTTACGCTCTAAGCCGGACGCGTTTGATGGTGTTCTTGTCGGCACAATTAATTTTGCGAAGTTCAGAAATGTGCCAGATAGAGCCCCTGGCACGCTGTTCCAAAGAACTCTGCAGACACACCTTCGATAGGAAGCGGCTTGTTTATTTCATCTGTGATTTATTTGATGCACCAGCACCAAGGCCAATGTGTTTTTTTAGAGGCCTTTTGGATGAGATTCCAGAGCAATTTGTAAATTGGCAAAATGAAGCCTATTTTCTAAAATAACTTTTCTTTGTTGATAATGGAATTCTAAAGTGGGCAACAAAACACCCCAAAGTACATTGACTGAAAAGTAGAGTGAAAATATATTACACAGGAAAAAGTCCCTACTGATTTCCTAGCAGTCGGCCGTCTCTACCTGTGTGCATATTTTGAATACTAAATGCTTCCTATTATCCCTAAGACATTGTTTGGAAAACATGCTTCTATTGTGTGTACTTGAAATCACATTTAAATCGTACCGTATTGATTTTTGTGTATTCCCATTTTTGTGTCTTTGGTGGTTTTGGAAATTTATCATCATTCATATTGGAGACCCCACATTAGGCAGGCAGCCTGAGGCCCCTAATACATTTAGAACCCACAGAAATATTCTAATTTATTTCAAATTAAAAAAAAATTTAGATTTAAGAAATGTTTAAATACATGAGTATATTTGTCCTCGTAGCAATATAAACATCATATTTTTTAAAAAGTTAATGGAGACAAGGACTCACAAATGTCCAGGCCCCAAGAAAAGTATGAGGTATCCCTGTTGCCTGTGGCTGAAAATCTCTTCTCTGGAAAGAATTTAGCTCCTGGCAACAGCACTGCATCATGATTTTTCACAACAAGTTAGATGCTGTGGCCTTGTTCTGTGTATATTTACTATTTTGATCCAACATACTTGTGAAATGGATACTGTTCTTGTACTTGAGGGGTGATGCAAGTTTTGTGGAGGGCTGACATTTATGCAATTTAAAAGATGCCATTAAAAAATAAACAAAAAACAAATACAGCCCCTTGCAAACTGCTTCAGCACCACCAAGCCAGAGGCGAAATGACAGGAGGGAAATCCATCTGGAAGGAGACCTTGGTCTCAGCTGACAATGGCTAAAATGTCTTAGTTTTGCAAATTGTATGAAAACACAATCATGTGAATATATTGCTAAACCTTTGTGCAAGGGCATAGAAAAGATGGAAGTTTGTGATTTACGAGCATCATGGAAATCCTGACTCCAACGTATACCTATTTTACAGTTAAAAAACTTAGGCATTTGCCATAGTTTCTCAAGACCACTAAACTACCCACACAGCACGAAGGAAGGGGCTGAACAGCTGTAGTATACATTTTCATTAGAAATCATAGATTATTTTTTCCCACCAAACGATAGCTTTTGTTTTCCAAAAAGCAAAGACTTTCAAAACACATTAGCAATATTTTGGTTAAGATCAGGCAATAACCCAATTTGGAACATGCAATAAAAAAAATTACTTTTGAAGGCAGAATCTTATCTATCATATAAAATATGAATTAACCAGTATGGATTCTAAAAGAAATTTCAAGTACGATGGAGTTGCACCATTAATTTACCATGTCACAAGAGCAGTCTATGTTGTAAACATTATTTTATGTATTTGCTATTCACAGTATTGTGAAATGTTGCAAAATGAGTACTGGAACAAGTATTTGTTTTGTTTGATGATTACGTCTTGTAATACAAACAGCTTCACAATAGCAGCTCTCTATACCTATTTGTGAAACCAAATAATAGAAAAAAATCACATTAGTAGAAGTAAAAGGGTAGGTTATGTAATAAGCTAAAATTCAGTGAGAATAAAGCAGGAAAATATTGAACTGTAAATAATTGCTGGATAAGCAGAATTGGCTCTTATTTAATTATTTTGTATTCCAGATTTGTGTTGGTCTTCCCAGCTGTTGGCTCTGCTCTTTGCCTGTCTGCTTTGTTCATTTCTTTTTCTTTGCTTCTTTTTTAAAATAAGAAAATATAAAATTTTGTGTAAAACTTAACATTGACTCTAACATGAAAGCAAAATAGGCAAAATTATGTAGTTGATATACAATTATGTTGAGATGTATGCAATTAATTTGCCAGAATATGAAAGACATAACATTTACTAATCTACAAGTTGTATGAAAACAATTGAAATTAGTCATAAAAACATTTCAAAAGTCTGTTTTTCTCATATATATCTTACCATGAAATGTAACATCAAATTCCAAAATATGTGTTGTTAGAATATGGAGTATATACACAATTTATGTTAAAACTAGTGGGAAAATCCTGCAATTAAAAACCAACTTTAATGTTTTTTTTTTTTACTTTTTAGTGGCCTATCCCTCCCAGTTTTAACAGCAAAATAAAAACTAACTACTAATCCAACTTGAAAGTGAAAAATGCCTCTCAGTTCACTTTGTTTAAAAGACACTATGTATTAAACTTAAAGATAATGGATTTATATATATATATATTATATATACTTATATTATGTCAAATCAGTATTTTTTATAATAAAGACTACTACAGATACATAATTGAGATATTTACAAGCAATTTATGAAAAGCACAAAATAAACATACTTTAGGATATCTCTCTCTCTAGGAGTGTATTTATTGCAAATTTTATGAGAAAATACTGACATTAAACTTTTCATATTATATCCACAGCACTCCACTACATGAGTAATTTGCACAGTATTTTCAAAATAAGCTTACATATAAGGAATTCTGTCCAGTGTAACATCTTTCATGTATTTGACAATAAGTTTGTATACTGAATGCTTTCCCACATTGCTTACACACATAGGGTTTCTCTTCAGGTGACCTCATTTTTGCATTTGACACTGTGTTGGCTGAATTTCCCCCACATTTCCTATATAGACTTACTCCCTAGTGGGTTCTTTTATCTCTACAGAATGGAACGCACACACCGCCTCCATGCATAGGGCTTGTCCCCAGTGTGCCTTCTTTCATATATTTTAACATGTTTGTGAGTAGCAAATGCTTTCCTGCATTGCTTACCCACAGAGGCTTTCTACCCAGTGTGACTTTGTTCATGTATTTGACAATAGTTGTGTGCAGTAAATGCTTTCCTACATTGCTTACACACATAGTTTCTGCCCCATATGACTTCTTTCATCTACTTTATAATAACTCTGTGAAGTGAATGCTTTCCCACATTGCTTGCATACATAGGCTTTCTCTGCAGTGTGATTTCTTTCATGCGTTTTACAATAACTGTGTGAAGAGGCTTTCCCACATTGCTTACATACATAAGGTTTCTTTGCAGGGTGAATTCTTTTATGTCAGTGAAAAGAATTACAATGAGCTAGTGCTTCAACACATTCCTTAAGAACATAGGGCTTCTTTTTAGCATGTCTTCTTTCATGTACTTGAATACAGTATGAAGAAATAAAAGTTTTCCCACATTATTTGCATACATAGGAATTCCTTTCACTATGATTTCTTTCATGGATTTGAACACTATTGCTTGTGTTGGTGGCTTTCAGGCGTTTCTTACCTATGAATATTTTGTCTCAAAAGTGAGTTCTTTTATTAAGATCAGAGTAAGCTTTCCCACATTGCTCACATTGATATAATTTCTCCTTAGTCTTTGTCTTTACATGCATTTGAAAGGACCAGAAATCACTGTAGGTTTTTTCCATAGTCATTACATTTATACAACTTCTCTTCTCATCCCAAATATTCATCAGCTTCGTTTCTTAGATTGCTTGAGCAAGTTTTCTTCATTTTGCTGATTATCCCAGATTTTTCTATGGCTGTCATATTCATAAATGTTTCCCACTCACATTTCTGTAGAGCTTCTTTTGGGATAGGTACAGAAACTCACTCCATCATGGTGAAGTTCATAGCCACATCCTCAAAGGTTACTATCTCCATTGTGTGGCTTGAGGATCCTTTGACTGCAGCCCAAAGCTAGTAAAAGTTACCAAAAAGGGTGGTCCAGGCAGCTAGGTCTCTTAGCAACGCACTCAGGC